GTTATATTGAACTGAACATTGGCAAGGAAAGTGAATAGATATAGCGAGAGTAAACGAGACGCAGCATTAGAAAGGGATACATATTACCTTCGTTGCAATGAATCATCCAATGTGAAATATTTCTATTTCTTTAATTTTCATCCTATCTTTATCAAAGTAGTACCGATAAATTGGTGAGATTCTCCTAATGAAAATGAGTCCAAAAATGATATAAATCGGACTAGTTTTACCAGTTATCAATTTAAATTCTTGGATTTTTATGTGTGCTTTTAATACTAATTACCGTTAAGACTACTCTGATTTATATTGTGTTTGGATTCATTTCCATCGGGAGAATCTCACCAATTTATTGGTACTACTTTTATAAAGATAGGATGAAAATTAAAGAAGTTGAAATTTTTTACATTGGATGATTCGTTGCACCTCAGGCATTCCTTTCAAGTGCCGGGTCTCGGTCATCGCTGCTTGACACACTACGTCTACCTCGTTTATTCTTTTTTTATCTATTCCCATTCCTTGTCGAATTGTTGGAGAGCCAATTTACTGGAGTTAAAACACTATCCTGCTCGCGAGAATTGCAATAAGCGGGCCCGAGTTTGTTCAATTTAACCGAGCATTTCTGTATTCGGCAAACACAATGTTAAAAGTGTTCAGTTTTGTTTTATAATGAAAAGTCGCACTTTCGTAGTTATATTTCATCTAACACGTGTTAATACAGAAATTAGGTGCCAGGATTAGCAATATTTTTACTCCAACGAATGAGAAGGGATTAGTGGAGTTATTTAATAACGTGCTTTTAATTACTAACCATTACGCGGAGGATTCGAATACTATTAAACATTTATTACGCAATTTGGTATTGGAGATCTCTTGTTTATATTTGCTAACTAATGTTACGCCTTATTTATTAGCACATATAGGAGGATCTTTAGGACGGTATGTAATATTATTAAGTGATAATATTTTAATACAAATTATCAATTAACATGATTAAAAATGATAGTAATTTAATATTCTGTGGCTGAACCTCTCTAATAAAATAAGTTAATAGCAGTTTCAATTTATTTTAAAATACAAATTTCTTTCAGTACAATTTTATATTATTCACTTTATCGTTGAATCATTAGAAGTGATGTTCACCGTCTAATGGAACATCACTTTCACTACAACGGAGATGGTATATAATCTGAAGCGTTTTACTGCGTTGCAATTGAAGTTGAATCATTATTTCTACATTATAAGTTGACAAATCCAAGGGTTATACTTTTTCATGTGAAAGAATATAAATTTCAATTGATCGTCAATTTCACTTTTCAAATGAAAGTAAGGGTTTCGAAAATATTGTTTTGCAACATACCTAAATTTACTCACGAAGTATCTATTTTACAATTTATTACTTTGCATGTACATATCAAAATTCATAAAGATATTGAATAATTACGAAAACGTAAATATATTCGTAGATCATTTGTGTGTAGTGTTTTTTTGATATAAATATATTTATTTATATTTACATACTTCAAAAGTTTTCGAGTACATATATCGTTCTGCAATGGGACCATATTTGTTTATTACATTTTACATTTTGTTTATTATACCAGATGATATGCTAGAGGTCTTTTTCGTATTTCTTATTGAATTGATGTTACAAAAAGTGAATTAATGGTAAACAGATAATTAGAAAGAACTAGTAGAGTATTAATTTTTTTTTAAATATTGAGGGCATTGATATTTTTTAAGCATAATCACATATTATTTTCATAATACAATTTAACGAATCTATACGTTTTATTAAATTTGATTAAAAAATTATCTTATAAAAGTTTCATTTATACTACCGAAAAATATTTGCTATTTGAATGTTGGTAATAGAGATCTTAACAATACAGTTTGTTTCATATACTTAAATAAAAGCTATTTACACGTGTAACATGATATTACGTGGCTTTTATTTTCACAGGAACGTATACACTTACTTAATTCTGTATATAAGTGCCTACACATCTTTTTTCTAATCTCTGTTACGCTTCTCGGACACATTCTTTAAATCCTTATGTAATGTATATACTCTTCTCAAATTTACTTTTACGAGAAAGTAGGTATTCTTTCTAATGTTAACGATATATGTATATTTTTAGTTACATTAATTTAGTTGGAGGTATTAAATTTGTCTTGTTTTTATTGAATTGTTACGTTATTGCTTTCTCTGTTGGAATAAATTGTACCAATAGTATACTTTGCCTATTATCAGATAACACAGTTTCACATTAAGATTGCAAAACAATTGTGAAATTCATAATATTAGATCACTGGGGATTAAAATTAAGGACTTTTAAAAGCGTTACTTCACAATGCAACTGCCCTTTGAATATACTGTTTTACGTTTATAATGATTGTACATAATGTAATTTAATTACTAAAGTTTAATGCGGTCAGATTTTCCGACGGAATATAAATTTCGTAATATTCAGAATATTAGATCATACAGGGTGCAGTTACTCGTCCGTAGACAAACCAAGTCATTTATGTCCAAGTCTAATTTATTTAATGTTCTACGTTTTAAAAAAATCTGACAAAATTCTAGGATATTTCTCAAAGTCCTCTACTATATCACACAATTGTTCGTTAAGCCAAGTGTTTAAAACTTTTTTCAATAAAAATCAAAATTCGTCTTGAAGAAATGCATGTGTGAAAGGAGGATGTTAAAGAAAGGCCAATTTTGGCATACGGCCGGAATGAAAAATTTTTTTTACAGCATGATTCTACGCAACCTAAGGAACGAAAAATGTAATTGTCATTCTTCCCGGAAATGATGGGAAAGTTATGAGAAATGCAGTTCAAGGTAAGAGTATGACCATACTTATAACTTATATTCCGGCTTGTTTTCTTCGAATGATAGATTTACAAAGATTGTTGTACATTAGTGTTTAATAAAAACCAAAAATAATGAAAAATAATTAATGACAAATTAATCGAAACAAGGAATTCTTTGATGACACAATGCTTATATTCTAAGCAATCAGAAACCAATAAGTATTTATTCTCGAAGTGATAAATGTTATAATAAACTATCGTAAATATAATAAAATAATCGTCATTGCAGGGATACAATAAGAAAGTAAGACTCTAACAGAATTTGCATTTCTTGAAACTGCTTCGTGTTTGCAAAGCAACTGTTTGTTCGTAACTCTCAGAGAGTCGAGCGATGCTCTCAGACAGTCACTCTCAGACGCGAGAGATACTCTCGAGAACAATTCGCGATAGTTCTACTCTGAAAAGGACAGCTAGCTTTATGTTTGGTTTCATGTACGTACAGCGACCCAGGCTCGCGTTTCTTATGTTTGGCTCGCAAGAAATATCCCGAGTTCTAAGAAGTTAAGGCCTAGAATTTTTCCTAGAACAGTTGCGAGCGTACAGCGATCAGAAATCGGGCAGCACGACTCGGCCTCAGTCGGTGTTTACGAGGCTGTATTGTGAGGTTATACTGCGCCATTATAGTCTTGTAGGGAATACATCGAACAACGCGTTTTCGATTATACGCGGATTTCCAATCAATTTACGTACTTAGCATATTCGTTCGTGTGAATTAAGTGCCGCTGCATACAAGAAGCTAGTGCACCGAATTCAAGTACACAACGAACAGCTTAGTTTGGGAGAAATGTCAAACGAGAAGCGTGTCTCTGCGAGCTACAGAACTACAGTTTCACGGTACATATGTGTATGCGTGAATAATATGTATGTAATTGAAAATAGAGGAGAGCCTACGTATAGCTAATTAGATCAATTACAGCAACAATTTCGTTTTATCGTATCCTAAGTTTATTTTTCTTGTAATAAGATGTGTTATAGCTATGAAACAACAACAAATTAGTTTTTTTTACTGTTGTCTCCCCGAGACATATACATATCCTATCCTTTTCTGGAAAAACACTGTCTCTTAGTAATCAACTAAGTCTTTGCACACGACCAACTTCGTTTGTTATTATTCTAACGACAGTATACGACAATTGACACGCAGTGCAGATGATCAGAGTTCAGTTTGCCGTAAAACCGGGGGATGGTTCTCAACTACGCGGACTGTCGACGTTCCTAACCTACGCGTAGTTCGACAGAACTCTGTATACATAATACATACATACATATATGTTTAAACTGATATGTAAGATGATACTTTTTCCTCTGGCTTTCATAGTGGATACACTGTTAGAGTCTTATTTTTCTATTGTAACCCTGTCATGACGATTATTTTATTATATTTACGATAGGTTATTATAACTTTTATCACTTCGAGAATAAATAATTGGTTTCTGATTGCTTCGAATATAAGCATCGTGTCATCAAAGAATTCCTTGTTTCGATTAATTTGTCATTAATTATTTTTCATTATTTTTGGTTTTTATTAAACACTAATGTACAACAATCTTTGTAAATAATACTCAATATGAGTTTCTAAGTGGTTAATTTATGAACAGCGCATCATCCGAAAAAAACGAGACAGAATATTAAGTTATAAGTATGGTCATACTCTTACCTTGAACTGCATTTTTCATAACTTTTCCACCATTTCCGGGAAAAATGACAATTACATTTTTCATTCCTTAGGATGCGTAGAATGATGCTGCTTACCTTGAACTGCATTTTTCATAACTTTCCCACCATTTCCGGGAAAAATGACAATTACATTTTTCATTCCTTAGGATGCGTAGAATGATGCTGTAAAAAAATTTTTCGTTCCGGCCGTATGCCAAAATTGGCCTTTCTTTAACATCCTCCTTTCGCTTGGGTCATTAACGACCCAGATTGCCTATGGAGGGTTAAGAAAGCAAGAACAAGGTTCAATGATGCACTTGTATTTTGCTGTAAAATGTATACTTATTTGTTACATGTACCATTTAATGGTATCTTAGTAATTCTATATCATACGATTTAACCATTGTTTGGTTCTATTTAGATTGTGCTGGGACAAGGTTGGGGAATCTATATGGGGCAATGCGTGTCTCGTAAGGCGGGCGTCATCGCAACCAGTCATCGCGATTCGCTCACCTATCGCATCATGGATAAACCCGCCAAGGTAAATAATATTGAAATATTAATACTTTTGCTAATTATTTACAAAGAGGCACATCTAATCGATTTCGATGATTTACAGATATGTTGTCAGGGTTAATGTCCTGAGTAACTTTGCTTATACATAGAATCGCCGCTCGGCCTATTCCTAAAAAACTTCAGTTCAATTTGCGGTACGATTACACTTCATTTTGGCGTAGACGGACACACTTTTGTACAACCCAACCTAAACCTAACTCATCGACGATAATCATTTTTAACATAAATAAGAAAAATTAATGGGTTATAGGTTGGGCTAGATTAATATCCGGCCGACAACGCTAGCGTGAAATAATTTTCGATTTAGCGTAGGACAATATATGCGTGATTGACGTATAGCTCAAACCAATTCTATCAGCGGGGTGCTGTATTTATTATTGTATATGTACGTACATAGTATTTACTATGTTGTATTAGCATTTATGGGTCAGACGTCGTAAGATTGTAGCCTCCGAGAATTTACCCCAGTACATATTTATATATCTGGCTGTTCACATGGTAGAACGTGTAATCTAAAGTAGTAGTGACAGTAGGTATATAAGTAAAATGAAATTACACGAATATTTAAGTAAATGTAATAATTATGATGAATTAATTGTTTTATTGAAATGAAATTCGATCGTGTTAACTTAGTGTTTAAGTGTCGTAGCGTATTTTATGTTAAAAATCCGATCAACAAGGGAGCCAAGAAAAACTGTAACCTGAAAATTAGTGCACACCAAAACTCCTGTTTTAGTCATATCCAGAGTTGGGGCATAAAAACCTGCCGAATTTTTGAAATAAAATAGAGTTTCAAGTTTTTCATCTTTTATTAAGTTCTTTATGTCAATACAAAGATGCTATCGTGCCATTTTATTTTTTGAAAAAGCCTGCAGTGAGATGTGCCCCGTTATTCCTCAGACATTGTTCCAGACTACTTCGAAGATTTCCTATAACTCTCTTGTTCATTTTGTTAGGAATCGCTGAAATTTCATCTTTCAAACGTTGTTTTAATTCTTGAATATTGACAACTCGAAGAGTATACGTTTTGCACTCTGCCGAAAATTCCAAATCCACAACTTCGTGGAGTTACAGCAAGGAACAGAACCATGACGCGGAATTTGAGAATGAATGTGAAATAATCGTTGCGTTCTAATAACTGATTGAACACAATGTTGTTCGATCCATTGTTCCACGATTGCTGAATTGGCATCAAATTCTCTGAAACTCTATAGCGTCAGTTGAAACAATTGACGGTGTTCGACAGTGAACAATCGTCGAATTTCTGTGCCCCACACTGTATGTCTTCTTCTTCAGAACGTTTGCCGATTTATCGGGTATCATCCCACGCTGAGACCACCACGACAAGAGTTTATATAAAATGAATTGTGTATTGATGTATGAAACTAACTCAAACATGCCCCAAATATACCTCAATTCCTATCTCAAATTTTAGAAATGCGAGGCATAACATTGAAACTTTTTTAAAGAATATCTCGCAAACTAAAGCCGAGCGGCGGTTATATGTATAAGCAAAGTTACTCAGGACAATGACTTTGACAACATATCTAAAGGTCATTGAAATCGGTGAGGTTTGCCTCTTTGTAAATAATTACCATACTTTTAATTATAATAACCGTTCAATCAATTTAATATAATAAATTCTCGAAATCCGTAAAATTAAATTTGGAGTATGTTGATCGAGAAAATTGCTATAAAGGAATAAAGTAAAATAAGTAACTACTGATGGCGAATATTAAAGAATTGCATTTATCGTAACGTTTTCAGTGTAAAAATGAGCAGAACGACATTTTTTTGTTTCTAAAACATTAACGAAACCATCGATGGCATTTAATGTAGAAAATTTGTTTCCAATTACAATACAGTAATTGACGAATAATTAAAAGTTCTGAATTACCAATATGATATGTATATTCTATGTAAATTAAATACGTAATTGCGTATATTAAAGAAAGGAGAAAATTTCCAGCATACACGTAACATTAGTTCGTTTTAGATTTCTAAACGTGTATACAATAGCCCCACAGTTCCATTAAATTTCAAACAGGAAGGGGTTGCGTACGGTGTACTACTTGATTCATTATTTGTTAGAGTTGAACGATCAAATCTTGTAGAAAGCGTTCAATCGGTATGAAGAGTGTTTTTCAGCTCGTGAAAGAAGTAGAATTCGCATTTTTTAGTTTTATTCTTCAAAATATTCTTTATACTGTAAGAGTACCTCTTGTAGTACTTTCAACTTTCAACAATTTTTGAGTATTTAAGGAAACAAATTGTAGTCATATTATGTCCTTCTAATCACAAATATAAGAAATACAAGAAGAAAATGTTATATAAGTATATAAAATGTTTATATTATAAGTACGATATTGACCAAAATAAATACAAAGGTATTAGTAAACATTAGTTTTGAGGACCCAGACACTTCTACTATACTTTCCCTATTGAGAAGGAATCAGTCCTGCTTCTCTATCAGTTAGAAGGGTTCTAATTTATAAATTTATAAATGGTTTCAATAGTCAAGTAAACTAGTTGGTTAAAGAAATGCGTTAATCCTTCATTGTCTTATTGTGCAAACGAACGTGAATGAATAGGTGAAAGTGAGTAAATTTTCCAAGTAAAAAAGAATGAATGAACGCAACGATACATGTTCTCAGTAGATTTCAATCGCAGAACTGGTATTTCATATGTAAAGTAGTAAAGCATTTCATGAATTGTAATTCATATTCGAGAAAAATAATTTACTTTTAATATTTCGAATGAGTAGGTATTGATTCATTCAGATAAATTTAGATATTGATTATAATAATAATTTGTTACTTTATTAAAGTGGAAATTATATAGTATAGTATTGTATACCGATATTATTTTACTTGAATTTATTTTACATTACTCAATAATGTATTATCGATGATAACAAGTGTTATGTAACGTGGGTATGATATTCAATTAATTATATATCTCTAATGAGCTCATTAAAAGTAAATTCTAAATATTGAGATTAATTAGTATAATTTTAAATTCTAGGATTAATCTTTTCTTTTTTTTTCATTTTTGAACTCACGGAGAATGATTATTTATTAAAGTAAACCAAGGTGACTGTGCGTATTTTCTTTGACGGATAGAAAATTTTAGATGATTTTAAGAAAGATTAATTAACGATTACATTAAATTTCACATTGTTGAATTATTTAATATTAGACAAAGCAACTAGAGTATTATTTATTGATATCACATTAGCGTTTACTTAGTAAGATGTCAAATACTTTAACCTGTTAATCGAAAAGTTTGTTTATTAGGAGCGTTAAATGACAGAAAACAAATTGACACATTTTACCAACAAACGATTCAGCATATTTTGCCTACAACAAATTTGACTATACTTTAATATGATTTCTAATAGAGCTGTAATGATAAAATTAAAGACTGAGAGATTGGATTAATAATTAAACAATCGATTTACTGAAAAAGGAGGGGTCTTTTTCATATGATGCATTAATCCGTCTTTCTCTGTATTAATAATTCTCTATTTTATACTAGTTAAACATTCCTCTTTTCACGTACAAATGACAAATAGAATTTTGTTTTGAAACGTTTAAAAGAATAATTTTTATTAATTTTGACAAGATATTATAAAACTAACATATAATCAATAACAGTTACACGATTTTTACCATGTTTACAATGGTGACCAACTATTTAAGGCCGCTTGATACGAGTCAATTTAGAAATGCGTGTATATTACATTTTATAAATTTTATTTTTCACATGTCGAACATTAAATATTGTACGACATACTACTAATTGAACTGCACTTTCAATTTACAAAGTCGCTAATATTTTTAACGCTTTATTATATTATATCATCCTAACGACGGATAATCAAAATTATCGTGACCTTCTCAATCTCTAGATTTCAATTCTATTCAAACATTATGGACTGATGCGGATAAACATATGAGCCATTCAGAAGCCAAAGTGACTAACTCCATCAAATAAAATGTATTAAATTTGTTTTATTTATGTAGAGTGAAGCACCAAGCATCTGCTTCGATACTAAAATTGGAAGAATACCAAAAAGTGGAGTTAATCATTTTGGCTTCTGTGTGGCTCATATAACGAATTATAAACGAATGCATATCAGAATAATCAAATTTTAAAAATTGTGCAATAATATAATTTTATCACCGCGGTCAGTGTTTGGGTGACTCTAGTCACCTTTAGTTAGGATAGAGCGAGCGCTTGATGCTGGGTGACTATAGTCACCCTTAGTATTTAGCTTTTCCAACGTAAAGTTGTATTATCTGTTGGGTTGATTTAATTTGTATTAAGAAAATTGGGTCGAATTTTAAATAGCTTTCCGCTGTTATGATCACATAACATAAAAAAATGCTAAAAATAGTTGTAATTTGTAACGTTAAAAATAAGATTATGTTAATATTCTATTGCAGCACTCTGACTGTGTACTACTCGAGAGTTGAACATGTGAAAAATAAAATATATAAAATGTAAAACAATCCTTTGAACTATAAAGCAGTGTTACAATTAATCTTAAGCAGCTAGTCGCCCTTACATATATTTTGCATACTGTTTAGAGTTACAAATTTATCGATTATAACAGAAATTATTTGCAAACTATTTTTTTGCAAACATTGCACAATATAAGTTATCTTTCGTTTATTATATTTTGTACTATCATTTCTGACACGATGATTTTTGATTTTTCAGTAGTTATTAAAATTAATTTTTATGCAATGTTCTGTTTTAGTGCTGCAATTTTCTTCTTATTTTTTTCTGTATAACTTCACACATATTCAAATGTTTAAACACTCTTAAAATTTAGAAAGTTTTACGCATTCAAATCGAACACGTATTGAAGGATGGCGAATAGCTACTTTAACTGCATACCCACCTACTTTTCAGTACATTCCACATAGCAACTCCAGGCATTAGCGTAGTCAGCTTAAT